TCAAGAGAGGATACAAGTCTGCTGAATAATATCAGCAAAAGAAACACCATGAGGCCCTGGCTGGTTTATCTAGAGACTGAATCAGAAACAGGAAGGTAGGTCTACTCGCTATTAATACAGTGCCAGGATTGTAGGAATTGGCTATGGAGGACTGGGACATCCAAGATTAGTTTGCATGAACTACAACCTAGCCATCTTAATTTCACATCTTAGGTCATGCCTTTGGGATGGAAATTTTAAATTTGGCAGCTGACTGTTTCCTCAGTTATGGCTAAAACTAGTAAGTATTTATTTAGGGAAGAGAAAAAGAGGTTCTGAGTGCTGGACAATCTCCTAATCAGTGCATTAGGGTTTACAGGAAGGAATAACAGAAAGCTGGACCTGAAAATTAATTAGAATGTACTGGGGGCATCAGTTCTGGATTTTTCACTAGGGCAAGCTCATTAGATATGAGAGATGTGAGTAGAATGTACTGGGGGCATCAGTTCTGGATTTTTCACTGGGGCAAGCTCATTAGATGTGAGAGGAGATGTGAACAAAACCCTACAGAGTTCTCTCTCCTTTCAGTGGCAGAGACTATTTGAAAGAATGAAGTCAACACTACAGAGGCAATTCAGGCACAAGTCCATGTTGGTAACTGGCATTTCCAGCATCTCAGGCCACGACTATGCTTACTGGAGGTTGATCTGGTGTTCCATTTAGTGGGTCTAGTATAGACATGTAAGTCAAACACTGAGGGCAGCTAGGGACAATGTCTGCATTCCTCGTAGTACTCTACATAACAGCAGTTGCGTAATGTAAGCTAATCTTCCAGGTCCAGTGTAGACCTTGTCTCAGAGCATGAGGGAAGTGGAATTTGAGAGTTGGTGCTGTCAGCCAGTGAGGAAGTGGTTCACGACACAGCTAGATCTTTGGATGCTTAGTTCTTATTTGACCATTTTTTTTAGTGTAACTTAAAACGTCAGTATTCAAGTGTATAAGAATGTATTTACTTTGCTATTAAAGCTATTAAGGAGTTCAGCAAGGAAGGAGCTAGATAAGTCTTCAGAATGTAGAGATCTGCAAAGGGAAGGAGGAAGGAAGCAAGCTGATGGATCTGACAGTCTGAATTTCAAGGTATCAAAAAAAAATTGATTGAAGGATAGTAAGGTGAAGCATATTTCATGAGGCTCGGGAAGCTAGAATTTGCCCAGTCAAAGCACTACAGAATTCTTTAGTAAGGTTCAACTCTTTCTCCACAAAAGCGTTACCTTGTTAAAATGATTTTCAGTTTGTTAATGTCAAAAAATGCATGTTATCGAAGTTTCCCCAGATAAAGTGGGAGCCCATTTCTTCAGAACTAGATTGGTTACATCAAAAGCAGAGCTGTGCAAATTTTTAAGGATGAATTGTTTACTCTTTCGAAATGCTGTTTTGGATGAACCCACATCTCCTATCTCACAGGTGAGTGCTTTAATAAGTTATAAAGTTGTTCTGACTCTCTTTCTGGACCAATGAATACTTACATATTTATACCAGGGATCTCAAACTCCTGGCCCACAGGCCATCACTGGCTGGAGCAATTGCATGATCCTGCTCGGGAGTCCCAGCAGCCCGGGAAGGGTGTGTGTGAAGGGGAGCTGTCCATTACTGTTTCAAACCCCACCCCTTCCCTGCCATCACAGGAGTCAAGGGCAGAGGAGTGAGTGTGTGTCTGCTGAGCGTGATCTGCTTCCCTGTGGCTCCTACTGCTGCAGGAAGTGGGGCAGGCGGCTTCCTCGGGAGCCAGTGCGTGTGGGGAGCCAGCTTTTAAATAGCTCCTTGCTTGCCCAAGCTCATCGGTTAACCGTATACACAGCTACACTTTCACATCCCTAGTTTTTACTATGTTATTAGCCAATTGTGATAGATAAAATAATATGTGGTCAGATATTTCTTTGAGAATTTTATAAACTAAATATTCCCTAGTCATACTATTTAAATATGAATATATAGTAAAAGAAACAATTCACACTTCTGTGGCTCTTTTGGGTAATACTGATTACTAATTTGGCTCCTGAATCATTAAGGATGGAATATCAGTGGTCTGAAGCATATCAATTAGAGTACTCACAAGGTATATATGAATTCAAGTCCCTGCTCCAGATCGGGTTCCAACCTGGGTCTCCCATCTTCCACACTAAGCTAAAGGCTATAGGAATTGATCTTTTCTGAAGATGACCAACATAAAATCATTTTCTAGTTTGCTAACAAATTCTGAACATTTTCAGAACCAAAACAAGAGTTTATGGTATTTACATTTTCAGAACCAAAACAAGAGTTTATGGTACTTTTTGGATTACTGGCAAAACTAAAAAATAAATGATTTGCCCAGCTCTAATCCACAGCACATCTTGGAATAGGAGCCTAAAAGATTAGGCCTATACAAGGTGACATCCAAATGCACATAGAAGTTTGGAAGTTCCCTTTGGGAAGATAATTCAGTGCTTTGTGTTCTAAACTTTCAGGATCAAGTGACTGGGTTACAAGAGTTGGTCAGCAGATGTGCAGACATAAGATTGTGCATGTGGCAGGCAGACAGGTGACCATTTCCTCTGGAAAGTATGCTACTGAGCATCAGTGGCAACACAGCTGAGTTACTATGAATGGAATGGTGCTTGACATAGAAGGGGCCATAAGACTATATATCTAGATCTATGCAAGTGGGCAAGCACTGGAGTTAAGAGAGATATCTTAGTGAAAAGCAAATCTGAGTTTCCATAGCAAGGACATGCTCTTGAACCAACTGATGACTCTTGTATTCTCTGGAAGTAAGGAAGCACCTATCTAAAATGATTATCTAGTGCACCTGGGTGTAAACAATTTCGGATTTCACTAATGGACTCACTAATTGAAACCCAAAGAGATTTACAGCAGATTCACAACCTTTGCTTTGGCCATGACTGTAAACTTGTCTGAAAAGCTGCAGTAGTGATGGTGGGGAGCCACCTTGACTGTGTAGCTTGACAAAGCACAAGCAGTATCTGTAACAAAATCTGGAAGGATCAGTAATTACTGACCCAAAATATATTTGGTACCTGAATTTTTCAGGTAAAGGAGTAAATCTATTTGGCCACTGGGGAAGGAAATGTTAGCTATCTGGGAACCCAGCTTGGGGTGCGTAGACAGTCAGCCAAGTTAATTGTCTATGTCCCTTTATGTCTGTGTCTAACTCAGGTACTCATTCCATAGGGGGACCAGTTCCTTAATTAAATGGAATTGGATTTCTTGGATGTAGAGAAACAGGATAAATGGGTTGGGGTAGGCAACGTCCCATAGAGCAAGAAGGCAACTCTCTTTCCTCAACCCCAATAACCTTTATCTGAAAGGAAATGGTGGGGAGGACCTCAGAATGAGCTGAAACTAGCTGTAGGGAATGGGGAGCTGAGGCAGCCCTCCAACAAGTGAAAGTAACTTAAGGAATCATGACATGCACCGTAACAGTTTGTTCCCAGAAGAGTTAAGTAATAAAGCTGTGACCTTATCTAAGCTACTTTCCTTGATCTTTCTTTCTATGTGCCCAGGCCAAGTGTCACTCGGGTACCTAACTCTAATTGACTTTCAACAGGAGTTAGATACCTGCTGTTTGTGCCTCTGATTATCTCCTCCTAATTCCTGACTTGAGTTCACAATTACAAATAAATCTAGGGATTCATATTCAAGTCCATATTTGTGTAGATTAGTTGACAATCTTTTTAATCAATCAAAGGCCTTTAATTTGGTTGTACACCAAAAACAAGATGTACTGGCAGAACTACCCAGAAAAGTTTACATAATCTGTTTTCATTAGCTGGTATTTAATACTACCATTATCATAAGCATTACAGTCATTCAATTAAAAATAATTCAGTCATTTAAATCTTCTGAAGTAAAATACCTCAGAATTCTGACCCTAAAGGACTAGTGAAACTATTGTTTGCTCCTTTATTCTATGAAAATAGTCTCCAGTTGCTTGACAAATGACGAATTATAGCAAGAAAATCAAGGTTAAATGGTGGGAAATGTTATGTTTTCATCAGAAACAAACTTTAAAAAATTCCAACAAGTACAGATATTTCACTAAAATAATATGGTTTATGAAATGGAATTTTTCAATACAAGCATCTTTCTTTATCTTCAACTTTATTAGATAAATTTGTGGATGATAGATCTATCTATGGCTGTTAGCCATGATGGTCAAGAACACAACCCCATGCCCTGGGTATCCCTACACCTGTGACTGCCAAATGCTGGGAATGGATGATGGGGGATGGATCATTTGATAAACTGCCCTGTTCTGAAGCTTCTGGCAACAGTCACTGTCAGACAATGGGATACTGGGATAGAAGGATCATTGCTCTGACTCTGCATGGCCATTTTTGTTTTAAACATTCATAAGTTTATAGAGGTCTGTATTAACCCATACAATGTTACCACCAAAATTATTTTGTCATCTTTGTTTAAGCAGACTGAAGACCATAAGGGACTTTTTGAAATCAGTTCTTTAAATATAGCAGACAATGTGATGGATGGAAAATAATTAGCATTACTTTCAAGAGGGTAAGTTTACCATAAGTATATTACAAACTGAAAAAGTGTTTTAAAATTAATTTGCAGTGCAGTAGATCCCACTCACATCCAACAAAAAACAGAAAAGTCACTATAAAATACTTAATCACATGCAAATTTAGAATTCACAGCTACGTCACTGATATTGGTAGTGTCTAAAAACCAAAAAAACTTAACACACCTCAAAGCAAGCAACATAAAAAAGAAAAAAAAGCTGTTTACTAAGAATAAAATAATCATACATTAAAAAAACTTTTAACAAATTAATCGTTTTTCTTTCTGGGTTTTAACCCTTCTTAAAAATGGGATTAAATTTGAATTATACTCTTTAATGACAAGAAGGGTTAGGCACACAATCTCTTTCACAATGATTCCCAAAGCATGTGTGTCAAGAGCCTTATGGCATCAGGAAAAGGTACTTGCTCTCCACATACCCCAGCCGCAGTATTAGATGAAGTCAGGATAGGAGGCAATTTCTCTCTCTCCTTTTCTTTCTCCCCGTCTTCCTCTTCCTCCTCCACTGACGAGGGAACACAACTGTCCTCGCTCATTTTGTAACCCAGCAAGGACCCTTTCTCGGTAACAGCGGGGAGATCTGAGCCGGTTGTGGCAGCCTGCGGGATCTGCAGTGACATCGCTACTGAACCCAGCCAAGACGCACCGGGTGTGCGACACCTCTCCACGCCCCCACCAAACCCACAAACACCCCCGAGTAGCCCTTACCCCTCAGTCACACCCCCAAACTCATCACCCCGCACGGCCGCCCCAACAGCCGCGAAGGCGACTCAACACCCAAGGAAGAGACCCAGTCACCTCCGCAGCCCCCCCACCCCAATGCCCCTGCCCAGAGCGCCGAGCGCACTGCGGGCACAAGCAGCGGGGTCGCAGCGGGCGCTACACGCTGGCACACACACCCCCGCGCGACTCGCCGTGGGGGTGGGGGGGGCGCAGCCCCGGCGCCCTCACCGAGCCCCAGTGGCCAGACCTGTCGCGCTCCCCGCTCTCGGACCCCTGTGCGCTCCCCTCCGAGCACCCGCAGCTCCCAGTGCCCCTCACAGCTGCCTACAACCCGAGGGCTAATCAGGGGTCGGCGCAGCCGCCATGTTGTTTACGGGCTGCTCATAGAAACACGCTTGGCGACAGAAGGCAGCGGAGGACACGGCTACGGAAACTCCGCAGCGTAAGAAGTGCCGCGGTGCCCCGTCACATTGCAGGGACTGCCCGCTCGCTCTGCGCAGCCGCAAGTTCCAGAGCTCAGGAGGGCGGGCATTGGGGAGCAAATGCGTTACGTCATTGGCGTAGAGCCCTCCCGGGTACCCCCGCAGCTGTGTCCCCCGCCTGTGGGGTCCTCTTGCCGGGTTCGCAAAGGGGCCCCGCGGGGACAGTCGCGTCGAGCCCCAACGGCCCGCTCTGCCTGTTCCCCCGTAGAGAATCCCTCCCTCAGGGGATTTCTTCTCCTTCTCCTTCCGAGTAATGAAACCAGCCTTTCCCCTCTCGCCCCCTTCCCGTTTCCCAGATGGCGGCGAATTCTCCAGCAATTAAGGGAGCAAACCGCAGGCAGTTGCCAGCTGTGAACCACCGCGGTAGCTGCGTTTCGGCCGGGGACTGGGCAGCTGCCCAAGGCCGCGTTGGAGCGTGACAAGCACGGAGCTAGGCAACAGACTTCCGCAGGAGCCCCCTCGCCGCTGCCCACCTTTAGAAATAGCGCAAAACCGTCCTCCTTTTCCAAACAGCCCTGTCCGCCCTAACAGTGACATTTACAACGTGGACACAGCCTCTTGACCCCGACACCCCCACCAACGAAATACATACAAGTAAAACGAGCCCAAGCCCAAGCCAACGGAGTTTTTATCCTGAAAAGGGAAAAGTACCACAGACCAGTAAGTCCGCTGGAGACTTCGCTATGGAGATTGATTTTACATTGAAGGTACTTAGGCACTATGGTGATAGATGGCAGTATGAAACAAATAAGGTAGAATGGATGGAGATAATTGACTCTATTTTGGCTTGCTGTTTTTCTGAGCACAAGTAGGCTGTGTCTAGACTGGCAAGTTTTTCCGCAAAAGCAAGTGCTTTTGCGAAAAAACTTGCCAGCTGTCTACACTGGCTGCTTGAATTTCCACAAGAACACTGACTTCCTACTGTAAGAAATCAGTGCTTCTTGCGGAAATACTATGCTGCTCCCGTTCGGGCAAAAGCCCTCTCGCGCAAATCATTTGCGCAAGATGGCCAGTGTAGTACTGTTTTGTGCAAAAAAGCCCCGATGGCTAAAATGGCGATCAGGGCTTTTTTGCGCAAAAGCGCGTCTAGGTTGGCACGGACGCTTTTCTGCAAAAAATGCTTTTGCAGAAAAGTGTCCGTGCCAATCTAGAGGCTCTTTTCCGCAAATGCTTTTAATGGAAAACTTTTCCGTTAAAAGCATTTGCAGAAAATCATGCCAGTCTAGATGTAGCCGTAGTGAAAGATGGGTTTGCCCTTAATTTCCATCATCCTTCCCCTCTTCCTAACCTATTAATATATTTCCAAATGGCTCATTAATATTTCCTTGTCGCTCAATCTAAAATGTATGAGCAAATAGCTGCTGCATGATTGCCAACTTCTCTTTTCCCTATCAGAATAGACAGCTTTTCAAAAACAAAACTAAAAAACCTTTTTTCTTGATATTTTCATGAATATTGGATGATCTGGAAACTGGGAGCATGTGTCACTTTGAAAAAAAGTACTTAATTATTTCCCTTGACACCCAACAGCTGTACAAGGCTATGAACCCTAAAATCTCCTACTACTTAATATAGGGCCCAGTACCCTTTTTTCTCAGAAAAAAGAAAAACTGAAGGGAGAGGGAGTAAGTGTAGAGGCAACAAGCTCCCCCTAAATTCCAAGGTGGAGCCAGAAATGAGGGATTAAGGATGTAGGGAGCTCTAGGCCGGGGCAGGGGCTGAGGAGGTGAAGCTTCAGCTAGGGGTGTGGGCTCTAAAATAGGTCTAAAATAAGGGACTTGTGGTACAGAAGGGGACTCCAAGGTTGGTTCCAAGAGGTTTGGAGTGCAGGAGGTGACAAGTCAGGGCCAGAGCAGGGAGAGTTGTGTGTGGAAGGGGGTGCAGGCTGGCTGGGGGTGTATGCTTTGAGTTAGGGCCAAGAATGAGCCAGGGGGTTGAGATGTGGGAGGAGATTTGGGTTCCACCAGTGGTGAAGCGTCTGGAGGAAGATAGGGTGCAGCAGAGGGTTCCAACTTGGGACACAGGGATATCCAGGAAACCCTTACCTCAGATAGTTCCTGGTCAATGGTGAAGTGGGGCTAAGGCAGGCTCCCTGCCTGCCTGCCATGGCTCTTCATTGCTCTTGAAATCAGCTGCCATGTCCATTCCCTAGGTGGAGGTGACAGACAGCATTACATAGTGCACACTGCCCACGCCTGCTGGCCTTCTCACCTATTGGCCAGGTGCAGAATGAATTTCATTGTGTTCTCCAATATGGAGGTGATGTACGACACATAAATACCCATATTGGTTCACATCTCAAAACTCATCCTGCACATGGAGAGTGAATGGTCAAGGTGGGCTGAGAGGTTAAGAATGTAGGGGGGGGGGCAGGGCTGGGGCAGAGGATTGAGAAATGGGAAGGGGACGACTCTGGCTGAGGGTGCGGGCTCTGGATTGGGGCCAGGGATGCTGGGTGTTGGGGTACAGGATGGAGCACAGGACTGAAGCATGTAGGGGGAGCATATGCTGTAGATGAAGATGGGGGCTCTTGGGTATGGCTGGGATGAGAGGTTTGGAGTAGGTGCAGACTATTCTATGGAGAGAGGACTGCTTGTCTTGATGCCAGAGAGGCTGAACTGGAGAAGCTAAAGGAGACAGATATGTATACAGCTGAGACTTTTCAGGGCACAGCACAGTCTCATCCCCCATCTGACAGCCTCTGTACTGTTCAGGGTAAGCAGAGCTTATAGAGGCAAGGTATTTAAGGTCTTTTGCGAGCCCCCACCTTCTGCACTCAGAGTGCCAGAGTGAGGAACAGCCCTGACAGAGGCTATTAGCAACCAGTTTAAATCAGAGTTGCCTTCAGACTACTCTTGTTAATGCCTGGAGAATGGCCAGACACAGCAGCCATGTCTAGTGACTTCGTACCTATTCAAGTAGGAATAAGGGATCTTCCGGAAAAGATTCTTATTTTCCGCAAGATCCCGTCTAGACTGGTGCTTTTCTCCAGCAAAACCCCGAGCCAGAAAAAAGCGGCAGCCATGTTCATGCAAATGCCGCGGGGGATATTTAAATCCCCCGCGGCATTTACAATTCCGACTGGTCTCATTAGCATCCCTTTTCCGGAAAGGGGTGCCAATGTAGACACAGCCTACCTGTACTGCAGTTACCCCATGGTGAGTGGGAGGGGATGGTGAATATAAAGAGTTAGAGAGTTTCCATGTGATAATTCAGTGAGGAGAGAGTTTGAATTAAACTTACAATACTGAAGCAGTAGAATAACATTTAATTAAGATTTTGCTTTCCTTTTCTGAATTAACAGGCAGTTAACTCAAAACTTGTATGTATTACATTTAATTTAAAAAGTGTCTCCCTCCCCGCTTCTTACTAAGTTAAATTTAAAAGTTGTTTAGGAGCTGGCTTTACTAAAAAGATAAATTGCTTAATTTTAAGGTCCAGTTTCTCACCACGTTTTGTTCCTGAATGCTTCTAATCTAGTGGCTTGTATAAGCATAAATAATCAAGAGTAGTTACACAAATGCCAAACATTCCCATGCTTATCTTTTCCCTTTTGTTATCAAGAAATCAATTAACCATGGACATTACAAAAACTCTGGTACTGAAGTTCATGCTTCTATTAGCAGGGCTTCAGCTGGAGCAAGCTGGCACAGAGGTATTGTGGCGCTATCCCAATTTACATTACCTGTGGCTTTTCTCCCTATCCCCCATTCTCAAAATAAAACATCCCCCCCTGTCCAGGACTGCAAAGTATAATAAATCCTAATAAAACATAGAAAGGCAACTATTCAAGTCAATTCCCACTATTTAGTTCATTTCTCCTGAGATATAAATATTCTAGTTTAGACTCCTTCAATGCAATGTTAAAATGAGAATTAAGTTTCTAATGTCATTAAACCTATTGATCCACATCTTCAGCTGGTGTAAACTGACGTAGCTCTATTGATACAAATCAGGGGTTCCCAAACTTTTTGACACGGGGACCAGTAAATCCATTCACGAGCTTTTGGAGGATCGGTGACATTCATTTGCATATTTGCGTATTCATTAAGCAAATGATGAATATTCAAATAAGTTGTTTCTGGTCCTCCCAAAGCCCCCAGTGCCAGTGTTAGCAAAGCTTTTGATACAGTCACCCACAATATTCTTGCCAGCAAGTTAAGGGAATATGGATTGGATAAATGGACCGAAAGATGGATAGAAAGCTGGCTAGATCAGGGTTTCCCAAACTTTGTACTTTAGTTGGAACCCGGTTTTTTTCAGTACTGTTTTTTGTAGCCCAAAAATATAAACGCGTATAAAAAAAAGAATGAAAAATGAATACATTTTCACTGTTTCACCTGGCTGCATCCTCCACCCAGCCTGGGCCAAGGCTTGGGGGACCCAGCGCCGCAGGGGCACTCCAGGAGGCAGGAGCAGGAGCAGATTGGGGATAAGGTATCTGGTTAGGAGGGAAGGTGCAAGGAGGGGTAGGGTTGCCAGGTGTCCGGTTTTGTACCGAACAGTCTGGTATTTGAGGGTTTTGTCCGGGAAACAAATTGAGAAATTACCAGACATATAAAATGTCTGGTATTTTCTAATTAGGTAAGTTTTATTATAATTAGGTGTATCAATCCTTAGCTGTGAACTGCCTGGCTGGGAGATGTGCTCGTGCTGCGTGAGTATGTCTACCAGCCAGGCAATTCTCAACTACCCGAGAGAGGGTATGTTGGGGGTGGGGGGGCAAAGTGGAATCCCCGGGACTGGACTCACTCGTGTGCCCGGGTCTGCATGTGCTTGGGTCAGTCCCGCTCTGCCCCCCCTTCTCCTCCCAATCTCCCTAGTCCAAGTGTCTACCAGCCAGGCAGTTCGCAACTACTCAAAGGAGGGTATGGGGTGTGGGAGGGGAGAAATGGAATCCCCGGAGCTGGACTCACTTGTGCTCGGGTCTACATGTGCCCAGGTCAGTCCCGCTTCCCGCCGGCCGATTCACCTCCCTCCCCCCGCTTCTCCTCCCAATCTCCCCTGGCTAGCCCCGCTGCCCCCATCCAGCCCTGCCCCTGGTCCTCCTCCTCCTGATCTCCCCCAGCCAGCCCTTCCTCCACCCCTGGTTCTGCCTCCTGCCCTCCCCAATCTACGCCGGACAACCCCAATCTCCACCTCACAGCCCCGCTGCCTCCAACCCTGCTTCCACCGGCCGCCCCCCCCACCCCTCATCTCCACGGGACAGCCCTGCTGCCCCCAACCCTGCTTCCCAGTGGCCGGTTTCCCCGCACACATACACCTCCTCCCAGCCTGCCCCGCTCTGCTCCCCTCCCGGAAGCCACGCTGAGGCCCAGTATTTTTTTCCGCTCCCTGGTACTGGGCTGCAGCCCATAGTTTGGGAAATGCTGATACAAATAAAGCTATGCTGATTTTCTCCTGCTGAGGATTTGACCCATTATATCTGACAGAATACTTCATTTCAATTTTTGATTTTTCTGGTGGTGTGTGTGTGTGTGTGATGATGATGATCATACTTAAGGCAAAACAAAGGCATTTCCTTTACTAACAGTTATAAAACACTTTTAAAACTGAACATAATCTATATGTGCAATCCAACTATGATTGATTGTGATATTCCAGAAAATGCTCCTCACTTTCAGAACAGGCAAAATCCTACTTGATTTGTAGTGTTGTTTCCAGTTCTGTTCAACTGGAAGAAGAAATGTTTGCATAATTTAAAAAAAATCACAAATATTTTCTCCTGTTTAAAAAATTTCATTCATCCAATAAGGGAAAAGAAATATAGGTGACTAGTTACACACAAACAGCCAGCAATAGAGGTGGCTATTTGCAAACAACTATAAGCTGAAATATGTTCATAAAAGTGTTTAGTAAATATTTACAATATATTAATTAGTAGAAGTTAGTATGTGTTTAAGACTCATGAATGGGTGAAAAAAGCTTAATTCCCTGATAATTTATTCAAATGAATAATTCAACCAATTCTGATTACAAGTCCCTGACAGGCATAAACTGAAAAACAAATAGGATATAATTCATCCAAATGTAATTTCATTAATGCTGATGGAATAAATCTAAAGATGGATTTGTCCTATTTTGTACTTTTGCTGTCCGTTACTCGCTTTGCTACTAGTTGCAGTGATGTTGCAGGCCCTGATGCAAACTGGACAAACTACAAACTGTATGTTTGTAACCGATGTGGCCTCTGCCCTAAGAAACGTTAGTTTGGGTCTTCTGATCAATTGCTCACGTATTCCTAATTTATTTCGGGATTACTGTAGTACTCAGAAGCCTAGTCATGGACCCCAGTCCAGTTGGGTCAGGTGCTGTACAAAACACATAACCAAAAGACACTTCCTACCGCACAGCATTTATAATCTAAGTATAAGATAAAGACAACAGATGGATACAGAAAGAACATAAGAAAATAAGAATGGACATACTGGGTCAGACCAAAGGTCCATCTAGCCCAGTATCTTGTCTGCTGACAGTGGCCAATACCAGATGCCCCAGAGGGAGGGATCACAACAGGTAATCCTCACATGATCCCTCCCCTGTCACTCACCTACAGAGAATCAGAGGGTAGGGATACCATTTCTACCCATCCTGGCTAATAGCCATTGATGGACCTAACCTCCATGAATCTAGCTAGCTCTTTTTTGAACCCTTTTAAAGTTCTAGCCTTCACCACATCCTCTGGCAAGGAGTTCCACAGGTTGTCTGGGTGCTGAGTGAAGAAAAACTTCCTTTTCTTTGTTTTAATCCTGTTGCCTATTAAAAAACTGCCTATAGAAAGACTGATGGGAGTGTACAAAGAGAAACAATGAGACAGTACTAGTCAGCATCATAGTCGGTGGTCACAGCACATATCCAGACTCAATATTGTCAATTTTTTTATATGCAAAGGAGAGTTTTAAGGAAGGATTAGAATGTTGATTCCGAGGAAGCTTTGTTGATGTTTACAGGGACCTTCTCCCAAGTATGTGGGGCAGGATGGGAAAAAGCATGAAGGTACCTATCTGAAAATTTAATAAGTGGATTATGGAGGCAGGCACCATGGGCCAACTGAAGGTATTTGTATGAGTGGGAGAGATAGACCTATTGATCTGATTATTTCCTGTGTTTCTGTCTCTCCATGATACTTTCTTCTTCCTCATATTTTG